GGAAAGAGTCTGTTCAACAATATTGATTGTGGCCCCTTAACCTGTGAAAAATAATGTTTGGTCTCCAGGCTGGATAAGCAAGACATTTCTATTTTCTGTGTGTTCTGAAATGGGCCTGGAGTTTGTGGGTGCCAAAGAAATATTTGAAATAGACATTGAAAAATGGACCTAATTTATTTTCTCTGTGGCAGACATCCAGTTCGTACTTGCTTGGTAACTTGTTCTGTGTCCTACAATAAATCCATGCAACTTTATAGTGGAGAACACGGCAATCAAAGCATGTAATTCCTAATATGAGGGGGAAAATAGTTCTTGAGCCTTAAAGTGAAAAGGGAAGACAGTAGAAAATATTTATTTTGATGTAAATATTTTATTTATACAATAACATAATACTGGTCAATTCAAATGAAAAACTCAAACAATTGTAAACTAGATTACAATTAAGAACATCAAATATAACAAAAGGGGTTTTTCTATTTTATTTTTCCTTATTGTTTAAGTATATAAGCGGGCCTTTGCAGAATGAATTACATTTGTTCACTTTTGTGTGGGATGGCCCTTCAAATGGCTGTGTTTTCACACTGGCTAGAGAATTTTGCCACATGACTTTCCTAACTTCTGTGGGAGATCTGTGATTAAAACTCCCAGTTGATTTTGCAAAGCAAAACCTATACTGAAGGAACTTCCTGCTGTTTTCCTATGGAACACTATACAGATAGCTATAAAGAAACCAGAAATGTGTGTTTTAAAACAAAAAAAACTTAAGTTTAAATTTTCTATTACAACAGAAAATATCAGTCATTCCTTAAAGGCTTTCTTCTTACATCACTGGTGACATGAACGAGAAGCATAGATTAGTTCCATGAAAACAAATACTGGTCTGGGCAGTGGTAAGCAGATTATATTTACTGCTACGCCTATGCAGCTAAGCAAAATTAAGGGTCTAGCACACTGGTGCTCATCTTCTGGCCCTGCAGGCTACGTGAATGGCACGGGGCTGGTCTGCAGGTCGGATGGGGCCCCTGCATGCCTCTTGCTTGCCCCATACTGCCTTGGCTAGCTCTTGTGCACTAGAACGGGGCCACAGGGCCCCACACCAACGCTACCTGCTTGGATTGGCCCCTGGGTCCCTGCACTGCCCCCACCTTGCCCCATACTCCGTGTTGGGACTCGCATCTCCCTACATGCTAGATTGGGCATTTGGGGCCATGCTGCTGGACCCATGTGGCTTCACACAAGTCTGAAAATTTGGTAGCAGGTGAGTTTGAATACTCCTGGTCTAACAGGTTGTTCCAGTTAAGAATGGCATCAATCTTAATCATTTGCAAAGACTATGTGGAGTCCTGTTTTCCTGAACAGATGAATCATACCAAAAATGGATTTTTTTTTTTTTCACAGCACCTAAGCTTTTTCAGTCAGTACTCAGCCTGAAGGCATGCCCAGAGAGCCTTTAGCTGAGCACAGTAATGGAGCTGGCTCTTATTAGGTTGGTAACAACAGTTGTATTCTGGACACGGTCATTCATTGTCTTGTGCCACGAAACTAGAGCTTTAGCTTTTTAAGGGCCATGCACTGTACTTGTTAATTACGGGTTTCATCCTCTCTCGTGCTTTGCCATGCTTCTCTAACTCGGCTAATTTTCTTACCTATGTGCACTTCTCTCCCTGCAAAGCCCCTCTACTGGTATTTAAATTCTTGAGCAGCTTGTGTGTCCTTGTTACGTGATTTATAGTCTCTTGCAGCAATCTCAAATGAAATGCGGTGGTCAAACTTGATAGCGAGTGTTGTCAGTGAGTTTCTATCCAAGCTGTAGCAATATTTACAAAATTTTCACAAATGTTTTCTATACTGATGCCAATTAGCTACCAGGCATAAAGAAGCAGGAAAAAAGGAAAAGCAAAGAAATGCCATATTTATTATGGCAATAAGCATTTATGGTATCTCACCCAGAAGTGTAGGATTAACAAAATATATTTTGGGAAAAAATGAAGGTTTATTAAATATGAAATTTTAAAATTGGGAATATATGTATTTCTGTCCAAATTCAGCTGGGACCAGAAGCAAGATACATTTCAAATTTGGACATAAAGATTTAAAGTCCTCAGAGAAATTATGTAACGGAACAAATTAACAAAGGATATGGTGGTTTCTCTACTATTTGAAGTTTCAGTTGAGATGAAATGCTTTCCTAAAGAATACACTGTAATTCACCTGTAATTTTTGGGCTTGATATGGAAATTAATGTTGAAATTTAATAGCCTGTGTTATGCAAGCAATTAGACTAAATCATTGTAATGGTCTTGTATGCTTCTATCTATTTTTTAGGTTTTGTAATTTAGCACAGTGGTCTCCAACAGTTTTATGGTGAAAATCACTTTTTGTAAATAAAGGGCACCCCGGGATCTACTGCCCTGGCCCCTGCCCTGCTCCCTGCACTCACCTCTGCCTCCTGGACAAGCTGCTGGAGCTCTGACCCCACTCACCAGCCTGGCCTGGCATGGCTCAGCCCAGCCCAGCCCAGCCATGTGTGTCCTAATGCTCCTGATTTATGGAGCCTCTGACAGACTGAGATCAACTGTCACAGGCTCCATGATGGACCAGTTGATCAAGATCAACTGGTTGGTGACCACTGATTTAGCAGAAAAAGAATATCTATGGAGTAAAGTCTCCCCATCCAGCGACCATATATAATAGAGCAGGTTTTCAGAACAAAGACCACTAGCAAGGTGTCTAGCAAGGAGCGGCTGTGTGTTTAGCTGTCTTGAAAATTTGGAGTGTCGTTTTTAGAAAAAAATAGGTTCCATTTTCTTACACATGTATTTTTGAAATTTTTGAAAAAGCATAGATGTTTTCCCTTTAAATAGTGGCACTTCTAATACTTTCTTGTTAACTTCCAGTTGGAAGATTTTACATTTTATATTATGATGTAGTTGAGGATTATTAAAGTTTACTTTGTATAAAAGTCTAATTTTAAAAATTTGGATTTGTGAATAAGCAGGTAAATTATCTTCTCAATTTTTCAGTTTTTTAAATACTGGATAGATAATTGTTTTTGTATATTAACTCACCATCACTTTTTAATGTCAGTGTGGAAAACTTTTCCAGCAAAAATTGATCTAAACCAAGTTTTTCTATTTTCCAAATAATAACAAAAATTAAATTTAATTTTTTTATCAAACTTAATTACTCTTCTATGCAATTCGTCACTGGAGACAAAAGTAAGTGATATTAGTAGGCAAGTAGTTACGGTAAATGAGTAATACTATTAAGCATTTTGTAGCTAATATGACTAATATACAGAGTAGAGCATAAGCCTATACTTTCATTTGTATTAGGTTTCTTCATACCCTAATGATTTTTTTTCAGTTAATCCTGATTATCTCCATTATAAACATTGTAGCCTTCTGCTTTGATTAATTGAATTTTTTTAGAATCTTGAAAGAGTACAACATCTTTAATTTTACCAACTAACTCCTGACTAAAAAGTCCTGAAGTTACCATATTTACTTTTCTGCCAAGTTCAAACCCACCAAAATAACAAATGCCCCCATAATTTAAAGCAATATATTTTCCTTGTGGATCAGTATCCTCAAAAAGAACCAGATTCTCATCAAGGAACACCTTAATACATGTCTGATTTTGAGCTATAGTAATGAAGTGCCATATGTTGCAACAAAGTGACTGTTTACTGTGAATTAAAGGGACAGAGATTCCTTCTCCAAGATTAACCACAATTTTTAATGTCCCATTGGTGAGACCAACTGCAAGGAAATCATTGTCCTCATCCTCAGCTTTTCCCAGCCATAAAATTAAGCCTTCGCTCTGGATGGTAGTAAAATTTAAAGATACACTGCTATATCGGAGGTCTCTCTTTGCATAATAAGGATCCGTATATTTGATATAAGAGTTGCCTACAAATTTTGCAGTAAAAAATGAACTTTCATTATCACAATATCTACCTGAATACCCTAATACACAAGCACAGCTATATGAAAGTAAAATGGGATCAGGAATACAAAGAGCTTGGTGCCTACATAGATTATGTGAACAGAAAACAGATTGTTCACATGTATTTCCTATCCACTGTGGGGGACAAGAGCAAGAAAAGACTGAATTGTGAACTTTACATGTGCCACTGTTTTTGCACACTGTGTACCCACAAACAGTTCCATCACAGTCACCTACATTTGAACCATCTTTCGGGTCTCTCTCAGTAAGTTTAAGTTCTCTGTTATTTATAAGAATTTCTCGTATACACCCGCTAAAACCTATAGGTTCATTCTCTACTGCCATCGAATTGACAACATTTAAAGATGATACTCCTCCAACATAAAAATCCGTGCGTGTATCTAGGGCAGTCATTCCAGCACTGGCTTTTTGAGTAATGTTGATGCCATCCAGATCCACATAGCCTTCATTACCAACTCTTCCTGCTTTAAGTAGATGCCATGTACTTCCATTTGTATTGATTTTTTGAGAAGTTTGTAAGATCAGTGTTCTGTCACCAAGGTTGTAGCGCAGTTGTACAAATCCATTTACTAAGGATACACATAGAAAGTCACCTGTGAAGGGGGAAAAAAAAAATCAACTTTTCATAGGTGGCAGAGGTCCATAAATTGAGGTTGCCTAACACCTTCCATTTAGTATCTGTTTTAAATGTCCTTTAACCTTACCAAACTTAGACCATTTTCTGATCTGTCTGAAGTTTCCTTTCGTAAAGACAGTTCCCTTACATCCAACAATAAAACTAGTGAGATTGAATTCCCCTGCATCAGTGGTTGGCAACTTTTTCCAGGGGGTGGCCTGGAATGATCCTGCTCAGATTGGTGGAGGGTGGGTGGATTCTCAGGAAGGGAAGGGGGAAGAGGAGCACCTCTCCACCACCAAAACACCATGTCTGCAGGCTGGATCTTGCCCACAGACTATAGATTGTCAACCCCTGGACTACGCTAATTTTTAAAACTGTTCTCTTGAGACATTCTGCCACTTCCACACTTCATAAGAGACTTGGCATTTTTCAAGGGATGACAGTTTGCACAGAAGATACTTCAATCCTCCTCATCTGCATCTGTGTATGCCATCCTTACAGAACACCTGCACATACCTCATACAAGGGCATTGCATGAGCTGTTCAGGATTTTCCTTACAATTATTCCTTCAGGGGACTGCTGTGGCTTTTGCATTGGACACTGAGAATATGTAGTACTTACCTGTGCTCTCTGTGTCCTTGCCATTGATATCCTAACACAGGGGTGGGCAAAATGCAGCCTACAGTCTGGATCCAGCTTGCCAAGGGATTTTACCTGGCCTGCAGCAGGTCCCTTGGCCCCTCTTACCCGGGCATGAGCTTGATTCTACTTTCTAGCAGCCCCAGTAGTCGCAGTGGCAGCTACAGCTCCTGGCTGACTGCTGCTGTTAGTGTTGCTGCTGCTGTGGGACCTGGCCCTGCTGTCTGAGCACCCTGGCTTGCCTGCCCCACACCCACTGTCATGGGTACCAGATGGGATGGGTGGGCAGGTTCTCCATGGAAACCAGCCAGGAACCCTGCGGGCAGGGTATGCTCAGCTGGGCAGATGGAATGGTTCCACAAGTGGGTGGGGAGCAGCATCCAAAAGTGGGACAGGCAGCTGGGATCATGAGGTAGTGTTAGCATAGGACCAGAGGCAGGGCCACAATCCCCTGCCCACATAGATTGGGGGGAACACTTGGCTAGGTCAGATTGTTCACTCAGTTTCCTGACTGATTGCAGCGCTTTTTCTGACCCAAGAAGTGCAAGGGCCAGCCAGAGGTAACACTCTCCTAGACTTGGTCCTGGCCAAGGGAGATGATCTGGTGTGTGGCTTGAACATTGAGGGTAACCTGGGTGACAGCGACCATGAAATTATCAGGTTCACCATCTGCTGCAAGGTCAACAAATCAACCAGCAGGATTGAAGTCTTGGACTTCAAAAATGCTGACTTGGACAGGCTCAGGTCATTAACGGGAGGCGACCAGGGGGACCAGGAAGGGAAGGTGAACAGGATGCGTGAAGAGTGGTTGCTCAAGGATACAATCCTCGAAGCACAAAAGAAAACTGTTCCTGCAAAGAGGAATGGTAGCAGAAGGGCTGGTAGGCCCTCCTGGCTTAACAGGGACATTGCGGTCCTCTTAAAAAAAAAAAAAAAAAAAAAAGGGGTACGCCCAGCAGAAGCTAG